TGTGAGCTAATTGGCTAATATTAAAACACTGAAAACGCCAACATTAGAGTTAAAAAATCCAGAAGCCACTTACCTTTCTACCTCAGCCGTTCTCCCGCACCAGGTCGAGCCGCCAATTAGGAATAACTCTGACCACGTGTGACTTAAACGTAAAGTCGTAAAACTAGCCGCACGTCGCTTCGTCACGGTGAATGGGGCCGCCATCTTGGACAGAGAAATATGGCAACTCCACTTAGACCAAATTAATCAAACGCAGAAACAGGCTGCCCGATTAGATCAGCAATCAGTCATACTTATAGGTTAAAATGCTTTGTTACCAATGTCTAATGAAGTGCAGTTAATTAAATCTTTTCTTGGAGTGCAACAATGAGTTTTTCCAAATATAACCGAAATAAATTGTTGTAAATTACTTGAATTGTAATTATCTACACTGACATTGTCCAACCGAGGATGCGGCTCTTCCTCGTCGTATTTCTCTTCCCACTCACGTCTGTACTTTTTTGGAAGCGTTATCGCTTTTGAGAATGTGGTGGAGTATCGGGTCTAGTGGACATTTTTAAAAGAAGCGGGGTTTGTAAGCAGAGCCTACGTGTGGCGAAAGTCAGGCAACAGTGACAGCGGTACACGCGAGTGTTGTGTAACTTTGTTTTTGTTCCGTCTGAGTGAACTTCACTTGTCTCTTTCTTTTGGAACGTTTTACATATAGTATTTACACAAACTATAATATAACAGAAAATATTTCAGTTAAAAGGTTAAATCATTACCCTACATTGATAAATAAACACATTTCTGGACACAAAAATGACAACAAAAACCCCCTTCTCAGGTTTCAGTAAATTCTCATTTCATATGCAAATTTATGAATATTTTATGAAAATACCTTCATGACATTATACATGGTTTAATATAGGAACAGTATATGTGGCATACATGGTTACAGAGTTCAGCTGTGAAGAAGGCACAGAGAAAAGGAGGGGGCAAATAGTAACAAAAAAATAAAGAGCATAACGGCAACGTGTCTGTCGCTTCTAATCACTCGGTTACAAGTCAACACTGACCTACTGTCAAACATCTGAGGAACCAACTCTGGTCCACGGAAAAAGAAAAAGGACGGGCGTGGAGAGGTGAGGCCACACGGCAGCGCACAGTCACGATGTTTCTAAAGGCGAGCAAACAGTCCAACTGTAGGACTGGGGTGGTGGGTTGGGAGGTGGGAAGGGGCTCAAAGCTAAAGGTCGGAGGGGTCACTTCCAAACCCCCGTCTGATCCTGCTCAGCCATTGCACATCATTCACACGTGCGTGGGCGTGGACTGAGTCTCAGGAGAAGACGGGTGATTGGCTGAAATCTAACACGTGAACAAATGCATCGGACTTTTATTAAAAAGCTGCTTTAACTGGAAGATGCTGCTCAGATCAGCTCCGCAGAAGTGAAGTGGTGTTTGGGGTCAACCTAATGAGGTGGTGGGCTCCTGCTGCTGGTGTTTGCTGAGGGTGGATCGGGTGAGGGTTCTTGCTTAGATCATGCTGTGTGTTTTTGGGGGAGAACATGTCTGTCCAGTCGGGGGGGTCATGTGTGTATTTGTGTGATGAGAAAGGAGCAATGCGTGAACAGAAAAGCCAAAGTTCTATCTATTCTGAAGGGGGCGCCGGTGTCTCGTTGGCATTGTTGTCAGTCGTCTTGTTCTCCAGCTCGTCGTCAGACAGCAGCTCCAGGGAGGTTCCCTCCACCTGCAGCTGACGGCGGCCTGAGCGGCTGGAGGAGAAGCTGATGGGGCCTCCACGTCTGCAGGAGGAGACGGTGTGTTGATAGAATTTTTTTTTTTTTTTTAAAGTGAATGTCAGACAGTGATTTCTACCTGAGGCGGTTTTTCAGAGTGTGAACTTCACGGCTCAGGCCTTCGCTGGCTTCAGTGGCATCATCCAGCTCCCGCTGCAGTTTCCTGCGGGAGGCGTTGGACCGTGTGGCCTCCTCCTCCGCCTCCTCCAGCTGACGCTTCAGCTGCTTCATACGAGAGTTTGACTTTTCCACCTTAAAAACAAAATATCAACCAAATGTAAGAAAATATCCTGACATATATTAATGATTAGTCTGTCTTAGTACTTTTTGACCGGGGACTAACCTGTTCTTTGAACTGATCGGCGTGACGTCTCTCATCCTCCACCTGCATGCAGACCTCCTTCAGCTTCTTCTCCGTTCGCCTCACGATCTTGTTGGCAGCCGCGCGCTCCCTTTAATGGAGGGAGTCACAGAAAAACAATCTCATTCAGTCTCTTTTTCTTACCATGGTTCCATGTTTCCACAGAGATCTGGTCTGGTCTAACATCAGATGACAGACCGAGCCCAGGGTCTTACTTGGCCTCCTGCTCCATCTGCTCCTCCAGCTGGGCTATCTTGGCCTCCAGGGCAGTGATGGTGGCCTTGAACCTGTTCTTCACAGAACCCTCCAGTTCTCCCAGTTTGGCCCGCAGCTCCTTGTTTTGACGTTCTAGTTGCTGCCGAGCGTTTTCGCTCTTCTGCGCCGAGCTGCGCTCTGCATTGAGCTCCGTGGTGAGGGAGTCCACCTGGAGATGAGGATGAGGAGGAGTCTCACTCTACCTGAACCCAGGGAGGTTCTGATGTGTCCAAACGTTTGTCCCGCCTCAACACTGTACCTGCATGGAGGACTTCCTGAAGCGGTCGTTGAGCAGCTCCATGTTGCCCTGCTCCTCCTCCAGCTCTTCCTCCAGCTGAGCGATCCGAGCCTCCAGCCTCCTCTTCTCGTCCATCAAAGCAGCTCTGAAAAGACCAGACAAACTACAAGTCAACATCCAACGTTCAACTCCACCATCGTAACTTTTTCTTCACGTGTGACGTCACTTACTTTCCAGATGTGCTGTTGGAAATCTCGTCTTGCAGTTCGTCCCGCTCCTGCTCTGCGTGACGTCGTCCTCTCTCAGATGCAGCCATGTCCTACATGGAGACGTCACAGGTGAAATGGATGTGGGGGGCCTGAGCGGCTGGAGGAGAAGCTGATGGGGCCTCCACGTCTGCAGGAGGAGACGGTGTTGATAGAATTTTTTTTTTTTTTTTAAAGTGAATGTCAGACAGTGATTTCTACCTGAGGCGGTTTTTCAGAGTGTGAACTTCACGGCTCAGGCCTTCGCTGGCTTCAGTGGCATCATCCAGCTCCCGCTGCAGTTTCCTGCGGGAGGCGTTGGACCGTGTGGCCTCCTCCTCCGCCTCCTCCAGCTGACGCTTCAGCTGCTTCATACGAGAGTTTGACTTTTCCACCTTAAAAACAAAATATCAACCAAATGTAAGAAAATATCCTGACATATATTAATGATTAGTCTGTCTTAGTACTTTTTGACCGGGGACTAACCTGTTCTTTGAACTGATCGGCGTGACGTCTCTCATCCTCCACCTGCATGCAGACCTCCTTCAGCTTCTTCTCCGTTCGCCTCACGATCTTGTTGGCAGCTGCGCGCTCCCCTTAATGGACAGAAAAACAATCTCATTCAGTCTCTTTTTCTTACCATGGTTCCATGTTTCCACAGAGATCTGGTCTGGTCTAACATCAGATGACAGACCGAGCCCAGGGTCTTACTTGGCCTCCTGCTCCATCTGCTCCTCCAGCTGGGCTATCTTGGCCTCCAGGGCAGTGATGGTGGCCTTGAACCTGTTCTTCACAGAACCCTCCAGTTCTCCCAGTTTGGCCCGCAGCTCCTTGTTTTGACGTTCTAGTTGCTGCCGAGCGTTTTCGCTCTTCTGCGCCGAGCTGCGCTCTGCATTGAGCTCCGTGGTGAGGGAGTCCACCTGGAGAGGAGGATGAGGATGAGGAGGAGTCTCACTCTACCTGAACCCAGGGAGGTTCTGATGTGTCCAAACGTTTGTCCCGCCTCAACACTGTACCTGCATGGAGGACTTCCTGAAGCGGTCGTTGAGCAGCTCCATGTTGCCCTGCTCCTCCTCCAGCTCTTCCTCCAGCTGAGCGATCCGAGCCTCCAGCCTCCTCTTCTCGTCCATCAAAGCAGCTCTGAAAAGACCAGACAAACTACAAGTCAACATCCAACGTTCAACTCCACCATCGTAACTTTTTCTTCACGTGTGACGTCACTTACTTTCCAGATGTGCTGTTGGAAATCTCGTCTTGCAGTTCGTCCCGCTCCTGCTCTGCGTGACGTCGTCCTCTCTCAGATGCAGCCATGTCCTACATGGAGACGTCACAGGTGAAATAGAAATGATTGGCTTTTCCTTAATTAGACAACAAGTCTGTTTGTCATCACGTGACCTGAGCCTCATGATTAATGTGGCAGTGAATAAAACACTGCCCTGTGTTGGTTAGTGCGTTTGTTTTTTCCATTTTACTGATGGTTTTAGTAAGATCCATCTGTGACCTATCAAATATACATCCCATACAGTGTCATCATATGGCCACAAGAGGGCACTATCGAGACTGAGGGAATCTAAATGCTGGCATATCCCCATTGAAAAATTCCACTGAATCCATATTAAAATATTAACTTTCCAAAAGACAGGAAAGAAAAACTTTTATAAAATTTCCATTAAGAACAAAAAACACAGAAAGGAGAAAAGAAAAGGCCAGGCTGCAGAATTGAACCTCCGCTTAGGTTCATGTCAGCTCTGTACCTCGTGGAGCTGCATAATCTCAGCCTCCAGACTCTTCAGTTTCTTCTCATTTTCCTTGGAAATGGCGAAGATATCGTCTCTGGAGGCGCGAGCGTCTTCCAGTTCCCTCTGGTAGTCCTTCATCTGGGCCTGGAGGAAGAGATGGATGAAGAGGAGTGGAGTTGAACTCCATGTGTGATCAGTTACAGAGACAGTCTCCAGTGGGTTACAGTACCTGTAACTTGCGCAGCTGTTTGATGGCCTCGTCCCGAGCCTTGTTGGCTCCTTCGATGTGACCTTCGACGTCCTTCAGATCCATCTCCAGCTTCTTCTTCGCGGCCACAGCCAGTCCTCTCTGCTTCCTCTCGTCCTCCAACTCTGCCTCCAACTCTCGCACCTTGGGAAAGGAGCGGAGTCGTCAGTCAGACATTTTTACATTTTCTGGTAAAATGTGAGTCCGGCGTCGCACCTGTTTGACCAGCGCTCGCTTCTTCTCGTCGTTCTGGTCGTCTCGACCCTGAAGGTCCCTCTCATACTGGGCCTTCATGGCCTGCATGTTGACCTCCAGACGCAGCTTGGCGTCCTCTGTGGCCTGCAGCTCGTCCTCCAGCTCCTCCAGCTGAGTCTTCATCTCTTCCAGCTGCTGCTCCAGAGTACGCTTGGACTTCTCCAGCTCGTGGACCTGATGGGAAGGAGACAAACAGATCTTGACAGAGTTGCTGGATCTCCGTTCAGGAAGAACTTTTTCAGGAAACAATCGCTCACGTTCTTGCCCACGTCGTCCTTCGAGCTCATCAGATCTTCCATCTCGGCGCGGAGCTGCTTGTTAGCTCTCTCCAGCTCCTCCTTGGCCTCCAGCGCCTCGTCCAGAGCTCTGGCCATGGACAGAGCCTTGGTGTCCTTTTCTCTGGCCTCCGCTTCGGCTCGGTCACGTTCCTCAGCGTAGCGAGCTGAGATGTTCTTTTCTTCAGCCAGCATCTGTGGAGGACACGTTCGTACCACATTTCAATCATGTAAAGTTTGAAGGTTATTTAATTTAATTGTTTTGAAAAAATTCTCACTTGGTCAAACTTCTTCTGCTTCTTCTCCAGGTTGGACACGATCTGTCTCTGATGGTCCAGGTCCACGCTGAGGTCATCGAGCTCCTGCTGCAGTCGAGTCTTTGTCTTTTCCATCTTCTCAAAAGCTATGGTCTTCTCCTCCAGACGTTGGTTGGACAGCTCCAGGTCCTTGTGCAGCTTCTTCTTGGCCTCCTCCAGGCCCTCGATCGTCCCCACCTCGTCCTCCAGCTTCTTCTTGCTCTCTGAGAGCTTCAGGCAGGAGATGAAAACAAAAAAGCAATTCCATTTTTTTATTTCGATCAGATTTGGAGGATTAGATAAAGGATCAGATCCGAACGTCTACCTGAGCCTGAAGTGACAACATCTGCTTCTCCAGGTTCTTGCGGGCCTCCTCGTCTTCCTCCTGCTGCTCCTGCAGAGTGTTCTTCTCCTCCTCCAGCTGCCGTATGCGACTGCTCAGGTTCAGTTTCTGACGGGTTTCCTCTTGGAGCAGCTCCTGCCGGACGAGTCACATGTCCACGTTTAAATGGGACAGGAAGTTTTCCTGAAGTGTGATTTGGTGCAGAGCAATCCTCACCTGCGTGTCCTGGAGCTGACTCTCCAGTCCGGCCACGTCTTTGGTACTCTTGATTCCCTTCCTCTCGGCGTCTTCCAGCAAAGCTGACACGTTGTCTAATTCTGTCTGTAGTCAAAGACAAGTCAAAAACAAAACTGGAATTTAACACTGTTCTTTAACAATATTCTTTCTACCAAACATGAGCTAATGGAAATAAAACCTTTGTATAAATATCTAAATTTTCTACAGCTGAATCATGAGAATCCTGGAGAAAACAAGAGAAAAACATTCTCCTAATGTTTCCCTTCTGAAACAAACCATTCCTGCAGTGAAAAAACAACAACGTTTCTGCAGCGTCACTCGTCGTCACCTGCAGTTTGTGTGTGCGTTCGGACAGCTCTCCTTTGGCCCGCTCTCCTTCGGCCACTCTGGCCGTGAACTCCTGCAGCTGAGCCTCCAGCTTCTTCCTCTTGTGTTCCGATTCCGTCTTCGCCTGTTGGAGACTCTTCACCTCGTTGGCCAGCTCCTTATTTGCGGTCTCCTGGCTCTGTTTGGTCTTTTCCAGATTTGCTTTAAACTGAAAGTCAAGTGAGTCGTCAGATGACGGTAACGATGACGTCTCGTCTCTCACCTGGTCTACGTTGATATTCATCTGAAAATGTTACCCTCTTGGCCTGCTCCAGCTGCTCAGACAGTTCTTCCAGGACCGTCGCATGTCTCTGTCGCATGTCCTGGATCTGACCTTCATGGTTTTTACCCTCCTCCTCGATGGCCTTCTTCAGCTCTGCCACCTCCTGCTCTCGCTTGGTCCTACAGAAAACACAGCCAGGGAGTTACTGTAAATGAGCAGCAGTGCTAAAAGAAAGTATGTTTTCATTTCCCGTGTTTGTAGAAATCTGATTTAAATGATGTAATCTACACACACTGCATGAAAAAATACCCACTCAACATCCAGCATGTGTTTGTATGTCAGTAGCCAGGTCAAAGGTCAGACCAGATTCAGTGACACTAGTCAGTGAGTCAATGACTGACACGGTTGACGGATGGATTGTCCAGGACTTGTGTTGTACTAAACATGTACTGAAATACATCAACTCTATGAAAATATATTTTCCTTGACATTTTACATAATAATTCCATTTGGATTTTTCCATTAAGACAAATATCAGCAGCTAGGGGTCAGTGTTTCTCCACTGACCTCTAGCACTGACAGATGAACTCCAGTGCAGCCCCCGTACCTGAGCTCCTGCTGGGCGGCCGTGGTGTCCAGAGTATCTTCCAGTTCAGTTTTCAGAGCCTCCAGCTCCTCGCTCAGATCCCTCTTGAGTTTCTCGGCCTTGTTCCGGGATTGTTTCTCCGTCTCCAGGTCTTCCTGCAGCTCCGACAGCTGAGCCTGCAGCTCCCTCACCTGCTTCAGGGCGTTGTTCTTCTGGCTCACCTCGTCCTCACCCCTGAGGAACACAATCAGGACAGAGTGATGTCAGAAAGGACAGACTGTGGATCAGTCACTGTTATCAACACTGTCCATGAATGACAACCCTGGGGGACAGAGGGAGGACTTTGAATGAAAATAATCGTGCATGTTTTTGGAGCAGCAGACCTTTTTCACTGTAAGGCACGCCTGTTAACCACGTCTGCCAACTAGGTTTAGTGTGAATGGATGTTTGTCTGCTGTGGACTGGAGAACCGTCCAGGCTGTAGCCCCGCCCCCACTCGAAAACTGCTGGGATTGGCAGTACAGCAGAGCTCCACTAGATGGCGGAGGTGAGCTGTTGTTGTTGTTGTTGATAGTCAGCTTCTGTAACACCTTTGTAACGCTGCTCTCACACACTCACAAATACCCAGTGATGAACAGGATGCACTCACAAATACCCAGTGATGAACAGGCCACACAGCAGCACATTCCACTGCAGTGAGTAATCACTGAGCTCACGGCTGTGAACGTGTTTGTGACAGAGATGGAGGTGGAGGCGGAGGTGGAGGTGGAGGTGATGACCTCCGGCTGCGTCTCATACCTGGCCTGCATCACCTGCTGCTCCTCTTCCTTCTTGTTCAGTTGAAGTTTCATCTCCTCCAGGTTGGCCTGCTGCTCAGAGATCTGGTCTTGAAGGTCGGACGTTTCTCCGTCCAGTTTCCTCTTGGATTTCTCCAGTTCCTGACGAGTCTTCTCCTCCTTCTTCAGTCTCTCTGAAACAGAAAATGGTGGAAATGTTGAGAATAGAAGACAAAAAAAATAAAAATCATCCCTCGTTGTAGATGAATTTGCTCCTTCACCTTCCAGGTCAACTATCATCATCTCCTGCTTGTTCTTCAGCTTGCCCAGGTTCTTGGCCTTCTCCTCCTCCTCGGCCAGCTCTGTGTTCAACTCACCGATTCGATCCTCCATCAGCTTCTTCTCCTGAACAGGTGAAACAAAATCCAAGATGTAAACTCGTCACATCTCCTATGTGACATAAAAAGCCATGTCACCGTCCTTCCTTTTCCTACCTTGAGGAATTTGGAGTTCTGATCCTCCAGCAGTAAAATGTCCTCCTCGTACTTCTTCATCTTGGCCTCAGCTGTCACCTTCTCCAGCTGCAGCTTCTGTCTGGCAGCTTCCTCTTCATCCAACTGTTCCTCCAAGTCCTGAACTCACATAAAACACCATTAATAAAAAAGCCCAAACCTTTTCCCTCGGTGTCACACCACACGTGTGAGTCTTTCCACCTGGATGTGAGTCTGCATCTTCTTCTTGTCGTTCTGCAGGCCTTGGGTTCTCTCCTCCTCCTCCTCCAGCCTGGACTCTAGGTCATGAAGGATCTCCTCCAGCTCCTGCTTCTTGGAGGCCAGGCGAGCTCTCATCTCCTCCGCCTCTGCGAACAGCTCTGTCTCTGCCTGCAGCTGCTCTGCTAGAATGTTCTTCTCCTCCATCAACTGAAGCAGAAAGGAAACACGAGGAGTTAGTCTTCGGAGAACGCCAACCTCCTGTGGGTTGTTGCTACGAGCCGTGGTCAGAACCCACCTGCTGGTGTTTCCTCTCCATCTCCACCAGCTCTCCTTCCACCTTGCTCTGCTTCTCCTTCACCTTGACCAGCTCCTCGTCCTTGGCCTGCATCTCCTCCTCCTGCCGGGTCACCTGCAGCAGCGGCTTCACCTGCAGGTGCAGATCAACACAGGACATGATGTTCCGTGGTGGGAAACGTTAGCAGCGTGAACGTCACCTCGACACGGACCTTGGTGAAGAGTCTCCACCACTGCCAGTGACGCAGCTTCAAATATGCGGCGCAGTTCCTCTGGAGAACCTTCAGGGCGCTGAGCTGCTGCTGCTTCTTAGCAAAGGCCCTGAGACGAGGACAAGGACGGGGACAGTGAGACGGAGGGACAAAGTGAGACCAGGGAAACCTGACGAGAGGCTCCTGGGAAGTCTTACTTTCGTGCCAGGTAACCTCTGCACACGGCCTGGAAGTAGATGATGATGTCGGTGATCTTCAGGTCGCGCTCCTCCTCCAGGTGAGCCAGGACCCCGGCCCGGAAGAAGATCTTACTCTGGCCGATACGGAACAGGTTTCCATCCAACTCCAGAGCCTTAATCTGGAGGCAGAGAGACAAAGACAGCAGGTGCAGAGACGGTTAGGACCAGCAGGGAGATAACCACAGCCCACACTCTGGTTTGTTTTCAGACTGAGGCTCACCATTCTTTCACAGGCCTGTTTTCCATCCATAAAGCCTTTGGGAATGGCGTTCGGAGTCAGGATCTCATACCTGACACGTGGAAAGAAAAAAGTCAGGAAAAACATGATGGAAAACTGACGACTAAACTTCATGAAGAGAAAAGATTGGACAACAAATCAGTACCAAGCATCAGTGCTGTGCTCCTGATGGGATGATAAATATTATTCTACAATATTTTTTCTATCAGCAAAAAAATATTCAGAATTCTTTCATCTAACCTCTGCCTGAACTCCTGGAAGATGATGCGGTTTGGGAAGCCCTGTCTGCAGATACGGATCCCTTCCAGAACGCCGTTACATCGGAGCTGGTCCAGGACCAGGTGTGGATCCAGTTTACCGGCCTGCAGGGGGAAAGTTCACCTCAGACAGAGCTCTGTTCTGTTCCAGTCTGTTACACCGTTGGTGTGAAAGACTCACTCGTTTCTCGTGGTTGGGGATGATGCAGCGGACAAAGTTGGGGTTCGTGTTCCTCAGCGTGGCCATCAGTTTAGACAGCTGCTCCTTGTACAGCTGACCCACCGTGCGAAACATGCCCTTCTTGGTCTTGTAGGCGGCGCCGAAGGCCGTCTCGTTCATGCCCGCGACCTGATCCAGACCCACGATCCGGTCGACTGGAGGAGAAAAGACAAAAGAAAGAGAGTGAATGGAGGCAGATCAATACGATGTTTCTGCGATTCCGGATCAAAATTGTGTGGAAAATTGGACAAATGAACATAAATGTTTTTTTGGATGAAGATGAGGAGGTTTTGAAAATGCCGGTGTTTTCCATCAGGAAACTGCCAAAGAACATCAATGACCTGGACTAGGTTCTCAGCAGAGACCGGAGGAACAAACAGTTCTGATGACTGATGGTTGGACAGAAATGAAAGAAGCCAAGAACAGAGGAACTTTACAAATGTTCTGGTATTTTGGTGTGGAACACATGACATGATGACATGAAAGCGAATGAAGCAGAATGTTTGACTGATGTTTGTGCATTCATCTTTTGTTTTCCAGATATTTGATGTTGTTAACAGTGATTTCCTGTTTCCATGAATGATGATGTCATCTGCATATCAACAGAGCTGTGATGGCCGAGTGGTTAAGGCGTTGGACTTGAAATCCAATGGGGTTTCCCCGCGCAGGTTCGAACCCTGCTCACAGCGGCTCAGCAAACAATTATTATTGATTAATCATTTAAAATTGATGACATCATGCTGATGATTATCAAATTACCTCCAACTCTCTACTACTATCTGTCATTACTGCCAGCTTCTAGTACTATTGGACTATTATGGTCTGTATATATGATTAGTGTTTAAGCTGGGTGTCAAACTCATTTTGGTTCAGGGCCCACATTCAGCCTGGTTAGATTAGTCAAGTGGACCGGACCAGTGCAATAATAACATAATTACCAAAAAAATAAGTCCATGTTTTTCACCTTTGTTTTCATACAGAAAATTACAAGTATATTAGAAAATACTTATTACAAAACATCATGAACATTAAACATTTTTAACGTTCAAAATTCATTAAGTGGACCGGATTGAATGCCCTGGTGGGCCGGTTTTGGGCTGCAGGCCTTATGTTTGACACCCCTGCTTTAGATTGTTGCAAAAATAATTTTTACACTGTTTTTTATTTCCCCATTAATAAATGAGACTCTTAAAGGTTTTTAACCTTTAACCTTAAATAAAGAACATCCGTCAGTCTCTCTCTCTCTCTCCCTCCCTCTCTTTGTCTCTGTTCTGTCTCCATCAACACGTTGGACATTGAACCCCACTATCACGACCAGCACAACAGCAGTGCAGCCATGCAGAGCCACTGAGGAACAATCAGCTGGGGCGGCGGAGGGCGTGGTGAGAGCGGCAGGTGGAGGATGAAGGTCAGAGTGTTTGACTGTGGTCACCTGGAGCTTCATGGAGCCCAGACACAGTGTCATAGAAAGACGCTCTTTGAAACGTCTGAATGTCTACAGCCCCAGAGACGAGGACACAAGAGGAAGAGGAAGAAGAGAAGAAGAACACGTACAAACACACACACACGTATGCTTGTCATTGACAGAGACAGATTATTAACTGTCAAAGAAGAGGAAAGTGGTTAAAGCCACATTAAAAACACATTAGAAAAGCTTGGGTTGTGTGGTCACAGCACATTAGAAAAGCTTGGGTTGTGTGGTCGTTGTGGTGGTTGTTATTCTGGGATGTGTGTGTTTCATATGTGACCTGTCACTGATCATGTAAAAAAACAAATGTCAAATATAACATCGTGATGATAACGAGGATCACTAATAATTAACCAGTGGAGAATGGGAGGAGCCGAGGAACGGACGGACGATGACACGGACTCACCGTCTTTCCAGAGCTCGGCCACAAACTTGTCGGTGGACTGGTGCAGCAGTGTGGCCACGTTGTCGTTCAGCGGGTCCATGTTCTTCATGAGCCACTCGTCGGCTTTATAGTCCACCTGAGAAGACGGAGAACATGTGGGGAAAAGAGGAACAAGTTCAGTGTTAGAGGTCACAATCTATGGCAAGTCTAAAGGCAGGGGGCACAATATGTGGCCTGTGACCCACTCCGGAGCATAAGTCGCACCAGTGCCCTCTAGTGGCTGCTGGTGTGAAATAAATAAACACATACATTTTCAGTGGTACAGGTGGTAGAAAACTTGCCCGAGCTGCTAAAAGGTATGAAGCGCCGTGAGGAGTGTTGGTTTAGAGAAGAAAGATAACA